AATTCTGTGTTGTGTGGATCTCTTTGCTGTAATTAATTTTGAAGGTTCTAATGCAAGCTTTTGAAAAAAATCTGAATCTTGTCAGTGTGGAAGCAGGAGCGTCCCAGAGCATCATAGGAGAAATGTCAGGTATAATTCTCTTTCCAGATGGCACCCCTACAGGTGAGGCAGTAGCCTGTGAAATTACATTCTAAATTACACTAGAGAGGAGCACCACACATAGAGCAAAGCATTCAGAAATTGGTAATAAATGACTTGATTGAAAATGAGGGACAGTTCCAACATAACTTACAGGGATGTGATATTTATGAGAGAATGGAGATCTAAGGAAAGCCTGAAGAACCAAAGTGGGAAGACTGAAGGAGGACAGTGATATCTGCTATACTGCAAGATAATTTTGTTTGTGGCCTGCCTTTTTGTTTACTGGAACCTTCAATGTGGCTCTCAACATAAAATCATAAAGTATTGTCAAAAGAAATAATTTACACAGATATCAATCACTAGAAAACTAATAAAATCCTCCCTGCACCTGGGAGGTAAATAAAGGGGATATCAGATATGCAGCAGTTTGAAGGATGTACATTAGCACTGGGTGCTGTGACATAACATCACTTGGGTGCATTTGGGTCTTGTCTCAGAAAATTATAATCTGCATACATACCCCTCTGCTGGACTATGTTAAAAGTCTGAAAAGGGAATGCTGTGTGGCCATTTCTCATCATTTCAGTCTACTTCCTTTGTTATGGAAAAGAGTAGGAGTTGTGATAGAAAAAAAAAATCCCATGGTGAGCACAACAGAAAGCCCGAGGGCCTCTACTGAACCAAAGCATACACTTTATACTTAGCAAGCAGCAGCAGGCATTAGGTTTAGAATACAGCAGATAGTTCCTCCTGGCTCTCTTGGAGCCATTCAAGATTGGCTGCAAAAGGATTTCTGGGAAGCATAAAAACAGGAAATGATCAGAGCATGAATATCGGGAAGGAGATTGCAACAGCCCCCAGTTTTTATTTAATTCTGTTTGCTGATGCTTGAGGCTGTGTTAATCACTCTCTGTGTACAGTTCCAGAGGTGTAGTTCTTTGCAGCCAGAATTAGGGTATTATGTACACCTTAAAGGCAAGTTTCTTGTGGAATAAACTGTCCTGAGGCAGAAGCACTTACAAAAGCTTATGTTGTAATAAATTGGTCAGTGTGAGAGGCCCTTTCTGCCAGTTGAGGGAACCCAAAGAGTCCCTTATGATTTTGGGGAATCGGGTTTGTTTTGAACTGTAAACTTCCCATCAGTTACAAGATATTCTTAGGGTAGCAAGTGTAAAGGCTCTGGATCACTGTTGTGAAGTAAGTTTTGTATTGAGCCTGAAGAGTGCACAGATCACTGAAGTAGGAGGTTCAATAAAGCAACAAAGAAGATTTATTTATATGCAGATTGTGTAGTGAATTTTCTTTAATGCTTGTGGATGCAAACAGGCTTTCACTGACTCACCACCGGGTTGGATCTTTACACACACACAGGATTCCACCCATATCATCCTTCCTTTTCTTAAGCATCACACTAAGCAGAAAGGGCCCAGGTAGGTGAGGCCTGCCATTTGCGGGACCGAGCGGGGGAGGGAGGAGGCTGGCCGGTCACTGGGTCAGGGAGAGGGGTGGGGCCAGGCGTGTGGCGAGAAGGTAGGCGCCTCCCCTCCTTCCCTGGGCCAATCGCTGGGCAGCGGGGTGTCCGGAGGGAGAGGCCTAGGGTATACCTCAACATTCCAAACCCCCTCTGAAAGGTGACTGGATGCTGGAGCACTCCCATAGGCTTGGGTGTGAAGTAGCTGAGTGGTTCTTTTTCCTCTTTGGGGCAGGACATCCTCCTCTCCTTCACAGTGAGTCTTCAAGATATTGCAGGACTCTTTCATATTTCATTATTTTGTGTGTGTGTGAGAGAGAGAAAGTTCCGTATCTCTTGGGGGCAAGAATGTAAGAACTTTTGACTTACTGGGTCACATTATAGGTCCCTTCTCATTCAGTAATCTGTCTTCCAATGGTCATCAGCCATATGATGAAGAAGGGTATGATAGAGATGGCATGTCACGGTCGGTTATTAAGTGGCGCAACTCTGGATGAAAGTACATACTTTTCATAGCCATCATGAATGGAATAAAGGTGTCTTCCATAAGAAGATTCCAATAAGGGTGTCTTCCATAAGAACATACCAAGGGCTGATAGTACTTCTCTTTCTGTCAGGCACTATAGGCTAAGTGGATGAAGCTTTGAAACACTCATGTTTTGATTTCAGTGATGGATGGTAGTTTTGTTCAGCTATGGCCATGGGAGATGGGAGAAAAAACATCCTCCATTTCTAAGCCCTTTGTAAGCATGTGAGTAGTTTCTTCTAGAAAAAGAGACATTATCACTTGGGCTGAATGAAGTTCTGTTCACTGATAACTGGAAACACCACTCCCAGTAACTCCTAACTGTTTCAGTATTCCTTTCAGTACAGGTGGATTGCTGTCTCTGCATGCATTCCCATCAATTCCTAGATGACTTTCCCAAAACGTTAATTTCAAATTTTACAGGATTTTTTTTGAAAAAACAAACACACACACAACATACAAGTATGCCTGTTGCACTAAACAGATTGCATCACAATGTGCTGCCTGTCATGATAAATGTGAAGGGTTATGAATAACTTGTGAAAGCAAGGATAAAATACAGTAATTTTTAAAAATGATAATTTGCCCACTTTGGTCCTGAAGCTATCTTGTGGCATCTGCTACTCCCTGTACCTATGAGGCGTCACATTATTTTCTGCTGCCAAGGATATTAGCATGAGGGCACGATGGGTATGCGGCCCTCTGTCTCTGCCAGCTTTAGGGTGCAACAGAGATCATTCCAAACCTCTGCTAAGTTTCTTGCAAAGAGAGAAGGACTCTCTATAGATTCTCTCCTACCCTACTGTTAGCCAAATTGCTCTATTATTTAATAAAGATGGGGAATTATAATTATGAATATGCAATTGGCTTATCTATAGGATCTGACCTGTGTATACCAGAGTTAGAATACCCAGGAACAGACACAGAAACTGGGTGGCTAAAATAATGATTTCTTTACTAAACATTCTCAAGCATACAAACAATATTCAAACACTCCCATACACAATATAGAACTATAGGGAAGCAGAGGTGATTGATAGCTTATAGAGGAATGATACAACCTGTCCAGATGTGCAGAGGTCCATGAAGAAAGGATTATGGCCTAAACTCAGAGAGTTCAGGGGTGAACTGCCATTTTGGATTATGGCAGAAAAACACATGGTCTGATGCCATGTGTATGCTGGGATATACCCATTGGAAGACAATGCAGACCAATGGGCGGTCCTGGGGGCTGGTCTCAAGTGAGAACAATAGATTTCCTGGACCACTGATGAGTCCCAGGGGTGTGTGGCATCAGGATGGGCAAGGCCTAGATGTGACCAATGAGCTTCCAGAGAGGCAGGGTCTGGATTTAACAATAGAAGCCAGGTGCTGGGTGGCTAGTTGAATGGATTATCTGACCACTAATGGGCCTGGTCAGGGTAAACAAAAGGTGGGAGACAGTCCCTGATTAGTGTCAGGTGTCATGCCTGCCCTTGACTCAGCCCCAGC